AAACCTTCATTCACGTACTAGGACCTGAAATATCACAAACAAGAACAACTTATCGTGAAATCGGTCTAAAACACGAGAATCAACATCTCAAACGGCTCAAGAATAGGGGTAAAAACATGTGCAATTAACGGTCTATCACTGGCAATGATAGCTAAAGACATCCAAGCTCCGGGTCTTGGATGTTGCTTGGATGAAAGTACGACAAGCGAGGAGTTGTGTTGCACCCTCTCCAATAAAGGCATCAAGTTCATTGAGGAGCATGACATAAAGTTCCACAAAGTGATAGTGCTTGAAGAAATCATGATGCACATACAATAAGAGAGACAACAAGAAATAACTGAAGAGGCTAACATCGGCCTGCTCGAGGTACCATGCGCAACCCATGTATTGTTACAATGCCACCTCAAACTGTTCCAAAAAATTTTAACGCTCGATGCCATCATTGACAGTAGGGATGGATACAAAACCCGAACCCAAGGGTACCCTATCCAACCCTGTCAATGCGGGCAAAACCCGTGTTGATGGGTTTCGGGCCAGGTTCGGGTTTAAACCTGTTACACTTTCATCGGGTTGGGTTTGGGTTTAGAGATACCCGACCCACGGGTACTCGACCACACTTATTTCATCGCATACTCTCTCCAAACCCTACCTTAATTCTAATTTCCCCAATCTAATTTACAATTTGTATGAATAATTTGTAGACCTGTCAAATTACAACCCGACCCGTTGACCCGACCCAAAACTGAACTCATTAACCCGTGATTTTTTGGGTCAGGTTGGGTGGGTTTGTGAGTCGACCCCCTTAGACCCGTTCTATTTCATATGTAACTCCCAAAATGATCAAATCATTCACAAATTGGTGAGATGTTTAAAAAAATTCACAGGTATTTGAAAGACATGTTTGGAGTTTGAGCATAATCAGATATCATGTGTTTCTTGTATTAGTATTACTCATGTGATTGTTTTTCACGATTTCTGCAATTTGTATTTCATTTCATTAGCATGGGAAGGTTGGAGAATATGTTAATTGACATGTGTTAGGTAAACTATTGCCATGCATAAGTGAAGATTTGTATTCTTTAAACAAATATGAAACATGTTTGATATTGTTTCTGAGAGCGCTCATAACCCGAAACGACCCGTAACCCGACCCGAAACCAAATGGGTTGGGTCAAATTTGACCTGAAATAAGCCAACCCAACATGACCCGGCCGGTAACCTAAAACTCCAATCCGAAATCACCCGACCCGATTGCCAGGTCTAATAATTTGTGATTTGTTTGAATTTTCTACACTCGTGTTTTATGTATGGATAATTTGTATGGATAAATTGATGTTTGACGTTATTTTGATAGGAACTTGTCATTGTAAATTTTTTACCACAAAAACCAATGGGTACCCATGAACCCGCAGATACCCAACGGGTTGGGTTGGGTTTGAGTTTTCCAAACCCATTGGGTTTTACCCCGGATTTTTTTTTTTACCAATAAACCCATGGGTTTGGGTTTGGATTTGGCAAAACCCGACCCAACCCGACCCATTGCCATCCCTAATTGATAGAGTTGAATGACTCACTCAAGAATGTATTGGTTGTTATCAAGGAGAAGGGGTACCACATAATTGTGCGGGCCAATGTGTGTCAACCTAATGAGTGAAACTTAGATCAATACTATGATTTCAAACGAGAGATCATCATATAATATTAGAAGTGGCAAAACGATAGGATTCATGGATTGGTGGAATCATGGACCAAATGGATTAGTGGCTTCATGGATTGGATCAAGTGGATTGGTGGATTATCCATGAATCCAAATGACATCGTAAACCTTGGACCAATATGTAAAATGTGAAAAGTTTAGGTACTAAAATGTCATAATGAAAAAATTTAGGTACCAAAATGTAATTTCCGATGATATTTTCGTATAAAAAATAAATTTTAGGTACCAAAATGTAAAAATTAAAATTATAAGTACTAAACTGTAATTTTTCAATGATTTATGAATCCAATCCATGAATCCACCAAACCAATTAGGGGTCGTTTGAAGAACAAGACAAGACATGAATTCACTGAATCCATAGATTTTGTAGAAAATTATGTTTTTTGTTGCTTTTTGTATTGTGGATTCTAACTTTAGAGATTTCAAATCTCTATAATCTACAGCTATAAAATCTCTCATAATCAGAGAAATTCTATATCTTGATTCGTGAGATTTTTTTCTAGTTTTTCTCTTCCTTTTATTTATTTATAACATGAATTATATTTATCAACAAAGTTTTTAATATTTCTCGAACCACTCTAATTTTTTATTAAGGATAAACATGTTATTTAATATAAAATTAAATTTTTTATTTTAATTAAATGTTAACAATCACAGTTGCCAAACAATAAATATTTTAAAATCTGTTTTCAACTATCCGAAGAGTTAGAAACTTAGAATCTTTAGATTGTTGATAATCTGTAGATTTAAACTCATATTCTCCAAACAACCCATTAGATTTGAATATATAGATTGAATTTAAATGAATTGAATTACTTGGATATTTTTAATAAATTGATGAATTGGATTAGTATATTAATTGAGAATTGCAATATAATACAAAGGGAATACGACCAACGCGGATTCCATTTCCATTAGCATTGAGCTATTGATCACGTCAATCGTTCCAAGGGAAACCAGATAACTTCCCCCACGATATTGTAATCTTCGTTCTCCATAGCCGGTCGTAGGGATGCCAATTACCCACCCATAGGTAATTATACCCAAATCCAAGTAGACTCATTGATAATGGGTTGGACACATGGTTGTCACGTCGGCCGGCGTGCCACTGGTTAAACCCGGTTCAACCTGTATCGGTCATAAAACCGGTATGACACCACCGGTATGACCGGCATGATCGATATATGAATTTCTAAGTAAAATGATCTTATATTAGTGAATTTATTTGATAAAAAGTAATTTATTATTTATTTTATGTGTTAAAAAGTTAAATGTTGATATTATTTGTTGGATTCAAGTACAAATATTTAGGTATTGACGTTAAATGTCGTGCTTAAATATGAGTATTTGTAAATTATTTGTAATATTAACCGGCATGAACCGGCACAAACCGGTATGTACCACCGGTCGAACCATTCCACTTCCTAAACCGGCGCACCAGCACAAACCGGTTTGACAACCTTGGTTGGGCATGGGTGAAGTGCATATGGGTTGGGGGGTTTGTAGATGGGTTTGGGTAAGGTATGAATATTGCTTAATCTAAATGGGTATGGGTTGGATATGGATATCCATTTACTTGAGGGTGTTTTAACTACATATGCACAAAATTGGACCTATTTGTAAAACTTGAAAAATTTAGGTGCTAAAATGTAAGACCTAAAAAATTCAGGTACCGGAACATAATTTTCCATCGATATTTTGAGGACTTATATGCAAAAAAAAAATTTAGGTACTAAATATGCATATCTATTAAGTTTAGATACCAAACTGTAATTTGTATTTGGGCATGGGTACAAACCCAAATCCATTTGTTATAAACCCAACCCAAAGTAAATGGGTATGGGTACAAACCCATCAAACTCTACTCGTATCCATCTACACAATAAATAAAAGCCAAATAAGAAAACTTGAAGCCCCATTTCAAATTTCCTGCATCCAGAGTGAAAGTAGGAAGGACATTTTGGTCTTCACAATTACTTTTTTTATTCATTAAAAAGACACTAACTAGGAATCTAACCATGCCCACTTTAAAGAAAAGTAAAGATCATAACCAATCACACTAAATACATTTGTTGTATCTTTTTAAATTAAAAACTTATAATCGCATAGAGGAAAAAAACTCTTCCCCCATTTCAAATTCCCTTCTCCAGGAGCGTTTGTAGGAAGGTAGAATAGGGAGTGTCAATTTTTTTCTTTTTCTTCTATAGAATGGGCCAACTTACCGTACACATGCGGATTTAAACGGGTCCAGGAGTGTCAATTTTTATCTTTAAGTCCTTTTATTTCTCCGTGGTGGTAAAATATATATAAAAAGGCAAAAACAATACTCCTTTTTATTGCTAAAAAGAAAAAAATTTAACAAATAGAAAGTTTAACATTAAAACGATCCTAAATATTTTCAGTTTCCTTTCGAAATTCTATAATTTTATTCCCGAATCAGTGATGTGCAAATGGCGAATTGCAGTCATCTCTTTTCTTTCATTATTTTTTATTTTCAAATAGAAAGTTTAAAAGTAAAGAATAATTAGAGTTTGGCATGGGTCGCTTAAACAGGCTGAATTTCAAGGTTTGGCCCGTTTTGATCAAGTCTAATTTATAATCACATGGTTCCCTGATACCCGATAAAAATCTCTATCCAAACCAGTTTGGCAGGTGAGTCTGTGTTTACCACCATTTTCGATGGATACAGGAACGGTGGTTCCTATCTCAAATCGTGTTGTTTGTTCTTGATTTTTTTTAGATTTTATCATGGCTTGGCAAAAAACCAGAAAGCACAATGAAAGGTTTATAAAGCAAATTAATCGGCCAACGGGCCGAGTAAAAGCTAGCAACGATTGTGAGAACTCATTTCCCGAAAACCGGCAGGATAGGCAATTTTTTATTCGATTTTCTGGAATTCGGTTTCTATAAAACTTACTCCATCTCATCATATTACCACATGTACTTGATTTTGGTTCATAACGCTAATTTTTGATTCGTTACATCATTCATGTCTCTTTCCTACTAAAATTCACTATTTTTATCAAGTGTTTCCCAAAAAAAACTATACAACAATAAGCTATACACCCCATTACATTATCAAATTTCATACCTCACCTTCCTCCGACAAAATGATCAGGGCCCACACCACGCTAGTCTATTTGAATTTCATATCCAACCCAATTGAGTTGGATAATTAAAATTGCCATCCGTAGACCGGATTACTCAACAGCTTAGTGGAGTTTCTCCGTGAGAACCGCAACTACCCGATAAAAATAGAGTCCCCGGCGACCAAAAGTCACAGCGGATTTGAAGAAGAAATTAAATCCAAGTTTTTTTAAAGAAAAAAAAATCCATTTCTTTCTCCTTCACTAGCCACTATAAATACAAGTCACTGTTAGTCTTTCAATTCCATCACACCCAACTTCCCACTTTCCCAACCACTCTTTCTTCTCGAATTTTCAGTGAAATCAGGCCGCCGCCCTCTAATGGCACCCATCGCCGCCGGTGACTCCTTGCCTGACGGAACTCTCGCTCACTTCGACGAGAACGATCAGCTCCAGCAGGTCTCCATCCACTCCCTCGCCAAGGGCAAGAAGGTCGTCATCGTCGGGGTTCCCGGCGCCTTCACTCCAACTTGCAGGTCGGATCATTCTTCTCCTCTGCTTATTTTTCCTCATCTTGCTCCAGATCTGTAATCGGATCGGCGATTGTGAGTGCTGAAATCGTTTATGGTTTTCTTGGTGGAGCAGCTTGAAGCATGTTCCTGGATTCATCGAGAGAGCGGAGGATCTCAAAGCCAAAGGTGTTGCTGAGATCATCACTATTAGCGGTAACATTCCTTTTCCACTCCACTGCTGTTTACTGATTTCGAATTTCTGTTGTGGAGTTTGGGAGATTGTGCGGTTGACTTCAGTGAGCAGTTTTCCCTTTCAATTTAGATTTGTCTTGATCCTGAATTTCCCCCAATATTGATTGACAAACTATAAGGCAAACCCTAGGATAGCAGATTTTTAGGATTGTCTGCTGGAAATTGTCTGTGTTTGATTCAATTCAGAACCAATGACCCCCTGCCCTCAATTATGTTAATCGAAAATGGTGAAACGAGCTACCAAAGCAGTGGAATTGCTCCATTCTAGAGGAGAATGAATGTAATAGATGTGTTCTAATATGGTGTTGGTCTTTGGTTGCAGTGAATGATCCATTTGTGATGAAAGCTTGGGCCAAAACCTACCCGGAGAACAAGCACGTTAAGTTCTTGGCCGACGGATCAGCAACCTACACTCACGCGCTGGGCCTCGAGCTCGACCTCAAGGATAAGGGTCTCGGAATCAGGTCGAGGAGGTTCGCGCTACTGGTGGACGACCTCACTGTGAAGGCTGCCAACATTGAAGAAGGTGGAGATTTCACTGTTTCCAGTGTTGATGATATCATCAAGGCCCTTGCTTGATTTCTTGAGCTTAGAGCATTGGCCTTGCTTTCGTTCTTAATTCTCTCAGCTGTATCGTCGGTGACCATATGTCGATTCAGTCTCGGGCCAGTTTAGTGGTAGTGATGGAGATACTCTTTGCCATGGTGAGTTATGATGATGACACCCTTTTGTGTAATTCTGTCCTGGTTGCTGTTTGGGGATGGAGAAGAATAAAAGAATTTCGAAGTTTCTGTGGTGCTATGGCAATGTCTTGGTTACTTACTTCCAGACTGTTTCTGGTATTTTATTGGTTTTTAGCCTGCGGCCGGCCAGTTATTGCAATTAGGGTTTAGAATAGGCAGGCGGTCTAACTTGTTTGTTTTATCCAAGTCGGCAGAATCTGGGAGTTAGAATAGGTCAAATCCGTTGCTTCGTTTCTTTACTTTCTTATAGTTAAGACTATAGGGGTCAATCGGGCGGGTTCGGGCTGGGTTCAATCGGGTTCGGGTTCAAACGGGTTGTGGGTTAGTCTGGTTGCGGGTTCATCGGGTTCGGATTCATCGGGTTCGGGTTCAAACAGGTTGCGGGTTATTCGGGTTGCGGGTTCATCGGGTTCGGGTTCAATCGGGTTGCGGACAAATCGGGTTGCGGGTTCATCGAGTTTTGGGTCGGGCGGGTTGCGGGCGGATCGGGTTTCGGGTTGTTCGGGCCAGCGCATCGAGTAACTTACTCATTACTCGTTACCAACTTACACATTTTATTACACTAATTTAAAATATTTTTCTCAACTTTTTAACCAATTTATTCTACGTCGTATATATATACTTAATTTAAAAAAAAAAAACTAGTCAAAATGTTAAATCAATTTGTATGACTTGCAAACTTGTTATGTAATTAATCATAATTGGTAAAGTACACTAGCTAATAGTAATGGTGATATCAATATTTGCAACCAAAAGACACCATTAATTGTTTATTTGATATTTTAGTATTATTTCAGTAGTAATTGGATTAAAGTATCTTGTTTAGTATAACCATGCAAATATGGTATTTGGTTTGTGGTATTTGGCAAAAGCATAGTGATAAAAGGAGTTATTTCGAAATAACTCATTGCCCAAATAACTTCAATAAACTATTGCCAAACGAGTTATTTGTAAAATTGTTTGAATTGTCCTAAAGATTAACTATCAAATTTAGTAAAATTATTGTGACTTCAATCATAACTTACTGAATAACATATATCCTATACAGTTAGCCTTATTCTCAATCGATAATATTAAATTAGTATATCTCACATAAATTGTAAGGAATATAACATATATGATATTAACTAACTACTTAAATATTTGCAATATACAAACCACACAATTACTATTTTGAAATTGTGAATATAATACAAACGTGCATAACGTATATGCCGAGAGCAGAAGAAAGGAAGCAGGGATTCTTGTGTCTTCAGTCCTTTCTAACCTAGAGGCGACGAAGACGGCAAGGGAGCGGAGGGGACAGAACCACTGGAGACAGTCTGGTGGCGGAGATAGGGATTTCCCTTCTCACTTGATTAAAATATTGGGGGAGGTGGGAGGGAATTTTCAATTTTGGGATGGGAGGGAATTTCAATTTTGGATCAAATATTGGGGGAGGTGGGAGGGAATTTCAATTTTGGATCAAATATTGGGGGAGGTGGGAAGGAATTTTCAATTTTGGATCAAATATTGGGGGAGGGGTTTATGGAGGGATTTTTAAAAAAAAATGGGTTTGCAAGGGAATTTTTGAGCAAATATTTGGGGGTTTTGAATTTTGCATTCAAAAAATTTTCATAAACATCTAGTTCTTCCTTTCTTTGATATTTAGTATCATAGATGGTATATTTTATATCGATTAACTAGTTTGTTGTTCGATACGTTGGTCGGAATGTCATTTGAATATGATATATTTAAGATGTACATTCACAAGTTAAACTAATTGCTAAAATCAAATTAATTAATAAACTATAAAAATCAAAATATCCAACATAAAGCATAACCATGAATAAACCCTAACCCTAAACCCTAACCCTAAACTAAGACCCTATACCCTATACTATAGTTATATGTTATGAAATTGTTAGTATAAGCTATAATGTATGTTATGTGAAGAATGTAAGTTGAGTCAATTTTATATTCGTATTTAATGAAATGAATTATTAACTTTACTATTTTTGACATATTGATTTATTTATAAAAGTAATTATTTTTATATATTTATAACTATTAACGTACTATTAACTAAGAGACAAACTATAATACTCGTAAGTATTTTATTCTTAACTTTCCCGTACCGTACTTTACTAACTATGCTATACATTAAGTGAATTTTATGTATACGTTGACATAAAATAAATTTTAAGGATGGTGTTACTAAGTTGTGAACCATTAATTACAATCTAACTTTTTATTTTAAAATTCAGTTCACAAAAACATGTTAAAAAATATACCTCCGTTTAATAACACGTTTAATATCCGTATTTAATGAAATGAATTATTAACTTTACTATTTATTACATATTGATTTATTTATAAAAGTAATTAGTTTTATATATTTATAACTATTAACGTACTATTAACTAAGAGACAAATTATAATACTCGTAAGTATTTTATACATAACTTTCCCGTACCGTATTTTACTAACCAATATACTTTATACCCTAAACAACGAACCGTCAAAGATTACTTATCAAGTTTAGTATAATTGTTGTAACTAATATATATATATATATATATATATATATATATATTAGCCTTAAAAGCATATAAGAATAAATTTAACTAATCATGCCCTCCATATAAAAATTAAAGATTCATATTTCAAAGGCTAAAATTTTGAAAAACCAAAAAGTTGAAAACACCAAATTTGTTTCATTCTTTATTTTCACCAAAAAAAAACTAAAATTTCCCTCCTTCTTTCTCCTTCGATAAATTAGAAACACTCACTTTCCCTCCTCTTTCTCTTCCATAAAATTGAAAGAACCAAATTTCCCTCTTCTTTCCTTCCACAAAAAGTTGAAAACTCAAAATTTCCCTTCTTATTTCTCTTTCATAATCAAAAGAACCAAACTTTCCCACTTCTTTCTATTCCCACAAATCAAAACCACCAAAATTTCCTTTGTTTTTTTTTGTAAAAAATTCAAAGAACCAAATTTCCCTCTTCTTTCTCTTCCCAAAAAGTTGAATACACCAAAATTTTCCTCTTCTTTTAAAAGCATCAAATTACCAAATACATTACTTTATTTTATTTATATTTAATTGATAATTTTATTGAATAGTTGAATTAACCATAATTTTAATTTATATATTATATTAATATTGTCGATGATCTCAATTATTAATTCTTCATTATTAATATTGACATTATGTTGATTTTATATTTACTTTTTTAATTTTTTTAAAGAACTTAGTGTTCAAGTGACCTTCTTGTTTCAATTTTTGTAATTTTCTTAAAATACATAATATCAAGTGAGTTTTATATTTTTTAAATTCCCTATACGAAATGAAAAAATAATTTTACCTAAGTTTAGAATGAAAAACTTTATTTTGAAAAACTATGTATTGTATATTATAATAATGATTTAAGTGGATTAAGTGAGGTTCGGGTTGAGTCGGTCGGGTTACGGGTTAGTCGGGTTCGGGTCAATCGGGTTGCGGGTCAGTCGGGTTGCGGGTCAATTGGGTTCGGGTTAATCGGGTTGCGGGTCAGTCGGGTTGCGGGTTAGTCGGGTTGCGGGTCGGGCGGGTTACGGGTTGTTGACTTTTAGTCAATTCGGATTGCGGTCGGGTTGCGGGTCGGGTTAATCGGGTCGGGCTATATTTTGACACCTATAGTTAAGACCGTCGCTTGTGCTAAAAAGCAAAAAAAAAAAAAAAAAAAACTGAAAAAACACTCTACATTAGGGTGCTAGAATTTCTATAAAGTAAAAAAAAAACAACTAAGATTTGGGGCGAGATTTGGGGTTAATTGTATAGTTGGCCACTGAGATTACAAAAAGCGTTCATATTTGGTCACTGGAAATATTTAAATCCAACCTTGGTCACTCAAATTAGTTAAATGGTTCAAATTTGGTCACTCTCCGTCCAACTCCGTTAAATTTGTCTGATGTGGCAGTCAACTCTCAAAGTTGACCGTTAACTCGGTGACATGACAATTAAAAAATAATAAATAAAATAAATTTTAATCTTCTACCATTTCCAACTCATTTTCACAATAAAGTAAAATAAGAAAAAATAAAAAAATTATTATAATAAAAAAAGAGGAAGCAAAATTTGATTCCTTTTGGGTTTCTCCGTTCCGACTATTTTTTTCTCTATTTTTTTTAATATTTATAGTCATCTCTCCTCTCCTCCAGTACTTTACTGCCTCCTTCCTCCCTCCCGTTTTATTTTCTTCTCCTTCTCTAAAATCGACAATGGCGGTGGAAAAGAAATACATTACCAGCGAGGACCTGAAGAAGCACAACAAGCCCGGCGACCTCTGGATCTCGATCCAGGGTAAAGTCTATGACGTCTCCGAGTGGGTGAAGCGGCACCCGGGCGGCGAGGTAGCCATCGCCAACGTCGCCGACGCATTCATAGCCTACCACCCGGGTACGGCGTGGAAGAATCTCGACCCGCTCTTCACCGGCTACCACCTCGAGGACTATGCCGTCTCCGACGTTTCCAAGGACTACTACCGCCTCGCCGCCGAGTTCTCCAAGCTCGGCCTCTTCGACAAGAAAGGGCATGTCGCCGTGGCGGCCCTGTTCTCGCTGGTGGTATACGGTGTCTCACCCAGCTCCTCGCCGGCAACTGCCTCACGGGGATCAGCATCGCGTGATGGAAATGGATGCACAACGCCCACCATCTGGCGGTGAACAGCCTCGATTACGATTCAGATCTGCAACATATCCCGGTGTTCGCCGAGGGCCAACGATTGGTTCGAGAAGCAGACGAGGGGGACGGTCGACATCTCGTGCCCGTCGTGGATGGATTGGTTCCACGGCGGGTTGCAGTTCCAGCTGGAGCACCATCTGTTCCCCAGGCTGCCAAGGTGCCAACTGAGGAAAGTTTCGCTGCTGGTTCAAGATCTGTGCAAGAAGCAGAACCTGCCGTACCGGAGCTACTCGTTCGTCGAGGCGAACGTGTGGACGATCAAGACGTTGAGGGCGGTGGCGGTGCAGGTGAGGGACCTGGCGAATCCTGTGCCCAAGAACATGGTGTGGGAAGCTGTTCATACTCACGGTTGAGGGGGATTTTTGTGGGATGGGATTAGGTGCTAATCCTTATAGGGATTAGCACCGTGATAACTAGCAAAAAACGCTACTAAAAATAACGAAATCACTACGGATTATTATAAAATCAATACAACATCTAAGCTAAATCACTACTAATTCAAACTAGTAGTAGTTTTTCCCTTGGTTAGGACGGTGCTAACTATTGTACAATTAGCACCGTAACCTGTCCCGATTTTTGTTTGTTTGTTGACGAATTGCTTCCTCTTTTTTTATTATAATAATTTTTTATTTTTTTCTTATTTTACTTTATTGTGAAAATGAGTTGGAAATGGTAGAAGATTAAAATTTATTTTATTTATTATTTTTTAATTGCCACGTCATCGAGTTAACGGTCAACTTTGAGGGTTGACTGCCACATCAGACAAATTTAACGGAGTTGGACGGAGAGTGACCAAATTTGAACCATTTAACTAATTTGAGTGACCAAGGTTGGATTTAAATATTTCCAGTGACCAAACAAGAACGTTTTTTATAATCTCAGTGACCAACCATACAATTAACCCGCGAGATTTGGCCAACAAAAAGTGGGGACGGATTGTGAGTTTCACAACTCACTTTGTAGCAAGATGTAATTTCTTTCTTGTAGACCTGGCAAGTTATAACCCGACCCGAAATCGCCAAAAAAGTAGAAATTTTTGTAACCCAAAATCCGAATGACTCGAACCCGATAACACGTGATTTTTTGGGTCAGATTGGGTTGGTTAGCGGGTCGACCCGTTAAACCCGTTCCATTTAATATATTACTCGCAAAATCTGATAAAATTATTAAAATCACTCATAAATTGGTGAGATGTTTAAAAAAATCACAAGGATTTCAATGACATGTTTGGAGTTTAAGGATAATCAAATATCATGTGTTTCTTGTAGTAGTATTACTCTTGTGATTGTTTTTTGACGATTTGCGCAATTTATATTTCATTTCATAAGCGTGGGAGGATTTGAGAATATGTTAATTGACATGTGTTAGGTAAACTATTGTCATGCATATTTGAATATATGTGTTCTTTAATAAAATATGAAGCATGTTTGATATTGTTTCTGAGAACGGTCATAACCCGAAATGACCTGTAACCCGACCCGAAACCAAATGGGTTGGGTCAATATTTGACCCAAAATAAGCCAACCAAACATGACCCGACCCGTACCCAAAGTTCCCGACCCGGTTGCCAGGTCTACTTTCCTGTCTCTCTCTTGTCAATTTTAAATTGATGATTGAGATGAAAGGAAGGGTATTTTTGGAAGGAAAAAGCTTACCACAATCAATCATTTTTCCTCCAATATAAAATAATAAAACCCTAATCTAATCCATACCAACTCCACAGCCGTTCACCTCCTTCTCCCCTTCCTCCTCTTTCGTCGACAACTCCACAGTCGTTTCACAACTCCACAGCCGGCGACCGCAACTTCACCTCCCTCTTCCTCTGCCATGCTCGTCGACACCCTCTGGCCTCCGCCGCGCCTGCTGTCCTCGCCCCCTGCCGCACCAAGGCGCCCCCGCCGCCCCTGCACCCCTCGCCGTGCCCCGCCACCTCTGTGCCCCCCACTGTGCACCCGCTGCCCGCTATCGTCTTTACGTCGTCGTCGCGAGGTTACTGAAACTCGCCTCCCCCTTTTCTTTTTTTCGAGATCTGCAATTTTTTATATTCCATATCTGGTTTTTGTGTTAGCCTCTAGTGGTAGTCTCTACTGGTACGGTACATGTGAACACTAGTAGCGTATCACTACCGCTGGTACCGTACAACTACCATTGGTACCAATGCAGTTAAAATCGCGCTTTAAAATTTAAAAACTTACGGTTTTACGCTTTTATGATACCAAAACGCTTTCGTTTCTATATAAAATATTTAGTCTATAAAATTGGACTAAATTGCGTTTTAAAGCTTAAAAGCTTACGCTTTTACGCTTCTAGCTCACCAAGATACTTTACGCTTTTACGCTTCTACTTCACCAAATGAGTATTTTTTTCATGAAATTAATTATAAAAAGTATAGTTTAAAGATAAATCATCAATAACATTTCATATTAAAAGATACATATAATGTATTTGGATGCACTCTCAGCTTCAATAGAGTAATCTAATTCACCAGCTAGGCTCTTCCTAAATTCATTAGCATAAAGGGGAATGTGACTTATAGTTAAGATCAATGTTTATGAACTTATTGTTAAGATGCTACTAGTTTCTCTACTTTAGACATGATTTGCGAGTGCTTATTACCTTATCTAAATTACGTATACTTATATTTTACATAGTATGTGTCGTACTTAACAGGAATTTTTAGCTATTTTATAGCATGCATAAAAAACTTACGCTTTTACGCTTTGATTCTACGCTTTACGATTTTACCCCTTTTCCGCTTCTAGGTAGAATCGCGCTTTTGAATGCATTGATTGATACCTCTACCAGTGATCACTGGTACATCACAGTGACTAGTGGTAGCGTACCACTACCACTTGTACCACTGGTAGCGCTACTGGTACGCTACCACTGCTCACTTATACGTACCAATGACTAGTGGTAGCATACTAGTACTTACTGGTACACTACTAGTGTTACTTTAATGGAGTGGTACTTTTTTGTAGGTGGCCGGAGCGAGTATGATTGCAAGATTTCACCGGAGAAGGTCTGCCGGTCGGAGAAAGTCAGCCGCTCTGAGTGAGTGGCTACTAGAAAAGGAAGAGAGAGATTTGTGGCATGATTTAAATTTTAAAATAAAATAATGTATTTAATATGGGTTTTAATTTCCTAAAATGTAATTAATATAAAAATGAAAGTAATTAATAAAACTCTTTTTTCACTACCCAAATTACCCTTGGTTGTGAAACTCACAACCCTTTTGCGGGATGTGACCATATCCCAGGCCCAAAAAGTGCTTTAAATGTGACTATTACATTTTAGTTTGACTCGCAATATTTTCTTACTAATCTTAGATTAAGACTTACAAATTTAAAATTGAAATTTGAACTTCGCCGTTGATCACGTAACATTTAATGAAAAAAATTACATCAATATATTCTTATTCATTAATTATGACAATCTATATAAAAACTATCAACAAATAATGTAAATAAAATGATAAAATCTACTCTATACTGTATTTAAGAACAAACAACACAGGAAAGATTTGACATTTTAGCCTCTCCCATTGTGGCATTTCACTTTTTGTGGGGTTAGAATGCTAGAAGTAACTCTAAAATTTGGAACTTTTAGCACCAACATTGTGGATTGTTACAGCTTTGGCCTAACGTGTGCAACTTGTTTGTTCAATCCAATTTAGCGGAATCGGAGAGTTCGAAGGTCAAGTTAGCTTATAGGGTTGTTACTAGCAACAAGTAGTGGCGGATCCAGGATTGTCGGAGAGGTGTGTCACCGATAAAATCCAATAATAATTAAATTAAATTAAAAATTAAGTAGAAATTAAAAGATATTGATTCATAAAGTTCACAAATGTCATATTTACAACGAACCGCGACGACTTTTCATCTGTTGAAATGTCTCTTAAAATACGTTCATCACTTATGCTGCAAAGCAAATCTTTTTCAATATACACACCTAAACAATCATTCATAAATTGGTCACTCAACCGATTTCGAAGATCGTTCTTGATTATCTTCATAGTTGAAAATGCTCTTTCGCAGCTTTCAACAACAAGTAAACTAAAGGATAAAGAGTGTCTGTCTGGGCTATTGGCCATTTGGCCTGTGATTTTTTTAATTATAGGCCCAAACCCAACACACATCACACATATATATTGTATGGGCTGAGAGTCCGTTTTTTTAATAGGAAGTGATAGGATTATGATTTATGAGTTATTTTAAACAAAATTAAAATGGATATGATTAAGATTGATTCATTTGGATAATAAATTCTTCGACTATAATGAAGGTGTGTCGGCTATAATTATTGAAGGTGTGTCGGCTATTTCGAAGTAAAAAATTTTGTACCAAAAATATATAGGTTCTTCGCAAAATTCTCGAGCGAGGGTGTGTCGGACGACACACCCTTACTGGCCTTCGGTCCGCCACTGGCAGCGAGATAGGTTTCCTTAAATCGTCCTCATCCTATTTCCAATTATCCAGAATTGCAAACTCATACCCGCTCCATACTAATAAGAGGAAGATTTTTTACTTGCTTTAATAATGAAATAGAAATGTGTTACAAAGTTTAAACTAATGCCCAGAAAGGAAAAACGAGCATAACCCAAAAAAAAAAAAAAAACCCCACAAAGAGCAACACAATTCCAATCCTACACCATAGTCCATACATATCATAACAAGAAAATAAAAGCAACAGGGCCATCGACCGAAACAAAGGAACAACCCACTTACAAGCAACCAAAAAAAAAAAAAACACATGTGCTCAATGTTAAACCCCAGCCCAAAGCCTCCAAATTCAAGAATTGAAAAGTCATATTGTACCGTCGCTTTGATCATAAAAATTTCTTATGAAAAGTAAAATTGATAGACGGTATTTAGAGATATAAAATAGTTGAATCACATTTAAATGACAGTTTTAACATTAAATACTCTTACCACTTTTCCGGTCCACCTTACGATACGGTTTCACCCTACCATGTTTGTGTCGCCGCCAACCACCCCAACAAACTACAACCACCACACCCACCAAAACAACCACCGCCAGCACCCAACCCACCACCGCCAGTCCCAACAGCAAGCGAAACACCACCATAATTAAATAAACAAGGGAATAGAGCGTCCAAGGGAACAAGAAAGGAGGGACAGCCGACCACCACCGCCACCCACGCGCAGCCGCAACCAAGAAGAAAATCCCACGCTCCGCCACCCAAACACCGCCAAGGAAGCAATATAATGGAAAGTTGATAGCGTCCCTACTTCCGCACCAAAAGACAATAGAATCAGAGGCATCAAGCCAAATCCATCGAAACACTACGCCATCTGAGTGGAGTAAGGAGGAAAGTCCCAAGAGTCGAGAAGAAAGGATGTAAATTGCAGAAACAATCCCCTTTGCACACCAGAACCAACTTCAAGATCTGAATCACGGAAATGAAGCGCGGAGAGAAACCATCTCTCGAGAGAGGTTTTTGGAAAATTCACCAAGGGATTGGAGAACGGAATTAAGAAAATTTCCTTAGTCTTGATTCTGCTTTTAACCGTCCCGTTTCAAATTTAGCATTGAACGGAATTCTTCCATCAATAGATTATCGGGAGAGAAAAAAATCCCCCCACCAAGAAAATTATGTTCCTGAACATTTTTTTTAAGGACCCAAAATTCCGTATTCTATCTTCATCAAATTTTAATTCGAAGAAATTTATTTTTTCCGGCAATCCTCACAGTACGTGGTTTGTAAAAACACGATCACCATATTTTCGAAATCGTTTTTCCACCTATAAGAGTTCCTACATACAACACTAATGACAATCCACCCAATCTAAAGAGAGAAAATAAGATGAAGCTTATCATCCTCCAACTATGTTGTGTACTGATGCCTTTTCTCTTCGTCATGATTCAAGGTGGCAGCGACAGACTTCGAGTACAACCAGAGATCGATAGCCCTAATGAGCAGAGCAAGAAACCTGTTATGTCTACCCAATCCTTTTCACCAGATTCTTTCAGGCAGAATTTGGTACCTGTAATGAATGCCAAACATCCCTCTCCAAATTATTTCAAGCAGAGTTTGGTACCTGTTAACGATATGGGTCTTTTTTGTCTTGTTGTCATCTCGTCACAAAAAGTGGGTCTCGTGTTAGTATTCATATAACCAAAGTTGGATACGAAGTTTGTAGAAAATTTTCAATGTTGAGGTAACCAATAGGAATAATATTTTAACTAGGTAATTGATTTTTGATTGCGGTTAACAGTGATACAATAGAAAAATTCCTAACGAAATCTAAATTGGTAGGTGATTTTACATGTACGTAATGATTTAACCACGGTTGAACTACAATTTTAGCACAAAATGTCTTAATTCTAACTTTTCAGAAACAGGCTTCGGTATGGTTTTTACAAGATAGTGGTTCTTATACTTTGTTTTAAAAAATATGTAATCCAAAGAAATTTATTTTTCCCGGCAATCCTCACAGTACGTGATTTGTAAAAACACTATCACCATATTTTCAAAGTCGTTTTTCCTCCTCCCACATACAACACTAATGACAATCAACCCAATCTAAGAGAGAAAACAAAATGAAGATGTTGATCCTCCAACTATGAACAAAACAAGAAATCTGTTATGTCTACCCAATCTTTTTCACCGGATTCTTTCAGGCAGAGTTTGGTACCTGTTTGTAATGGATGCCAAACATCCCTCTGCAAATTATTTCAAGCAGAATTTGGTACCCATTAATGATATGGGTTCCAGACACGCTTCCTCGAACGTAAACGAGCAGAATAAGGAACCTATCATGCCTACCAAGAATCCATCAACAGATTTATTGTATAAGCAGGGTAAGGGACCTATCATACCTACCAAGAAACCCTCTGCAGAATTTTATGAGCATAATAAGTAGTGTTTTTGTGATTTTTTTTTTTTCACTAGAAGTGTCTAGATATTTATGGGGTTTTCTATACGCACCATACAGTTCAAGTTTTGAAACACAAAATACGTATGATAGTTAGGCCAAATTGTGACAAAATTTGTGCAAATTTCATTTCTCGAACAATTTTGTGGCTGATGGGCCTTTAATTTGTCATCAACTCATCACAAAAATGGGTCTCATGTTAGTATTCATATAACCGAAGTTGGATGCGAAATAAATGGATTTCCTTGGTAAAATTTCAATGTCGAGAACGAACAAGGGATTGGTCTAGTGGTAATATTACTAGCCTATAAATTTGAGGTTTCAAGTTCGAATTCATTAAATACCTTAATCACAAAAAATGAAACCTATGTCACCATTATAAAAAAAAAAATTCAATGTCGAGGATTACCTATATGGACAAAATTATACTAAGGACTTGTATATGAACGGAATATAAACGACATCTTGATGTTATTTTCACCAAATACATCACTTAAAATTACAATCTCCAAAGCACCCCTACCTAACTTTGTGACTCGTAATTCACCATCAGAATTCTTATTTAACTACGGGCTTAATTTAGGTAACCCATGATGAAAACCGTTATAGGTTGGCTTCTTCGTTAAGCAGGGTTCTTACTGTTTTGTTTCTCATCGACTCGATAGGGCTGCCCATCATGTAGCACAAAAGACCCTCTTATCAGGAGTCCGATTATTGGTCGACTCTCGCGCTTTTTCTTACTTCCTTTGTGTGACTATCTTTACTATTCTTGACTTCGCAAAAATTAAAAAATAAATAAATAAAAAAGTAAAACTGGATAAAAAAAGAAAGCCAGGTGTCATAATCCAATAGGATACTCTGTTAGTCTATTTACACTCTACTCCAATCATCACCGTTGACAAACCAAAATCACATCACTGCCCCTTAGTGGTGGCAAATGGATCGATCCATAGATTCATAGATTGGATTGGTGGATTCATGGATAAAATGGATGGGTGGATTCATGGATTGGATCAAGTGGATTGGTAGATTATCCATGAATCCAAATGACATCCTCAACCTTGGACTAATATGTAAAATGTGAAAAGTTTAGATACTAAAATGTCGTAATGGAAAGTTTTAGGTACCAAAATGTAATTTTCCAATGGGATTTTTTGTATAAAAAATTAAATTCTAGGTACCAAAATGTAAAATATAAAAAGTACAGGTACCAAGCCATAATTTGCCATTTGGATCCATGGATTGATCCATGAATCTACCAATCCAATTGGATTTAGATTAAATGGATTGGATTTAAATGGATTGGATTAGGTGGATATTTTTAATGGATTGGTGGATTGGATTGAGAATTGCCACCTCTAGGCTGCCACTGCTTCCTGTCTCCGGCCAAACCTACACGCACACTCCACGGAAACCCAAACCCACTGGTAGAACCAAAAAGAAATGGAGCCGAAATCTCCCCCGCCGCCGCATCCCAAGAGCTGGAGCATCTAAACCAGGCCCGGAATCATCGCCAAGTACCAAATCCACGAGCGGGTCGGCTTCGGCGCCTACTCCGACGTGTACAAGGCCCGACGCCTCGCTGAAGACCACCTCGTCGCCTTGAAAGAGGTCCACGACTACCAGTCCGCGTTCCGCGAGATCGAGGCCCTCCGCATCCTCCAGAGCTGCCCCAACGTCGTCGTCTTCCACGAGTACTTCTGGGCGGAGGATGAAGACGACATCACCGTCCTCGAATTTCTCCGGACCGACTTGACCGCCGTCATCCGGGACGGGAAGAAGAAAGGTGGGATCCGCTCCGGCGAGGTCAAGCAGTGGATGTTGCAAATTATCTCCGGCCTCGACGCCTGCCACCGGAACATGATCGTGCATCGCGATTTGAAGCCCGACAATCTGTTGATTTCCCACGACGGGATCCTCAAATTGGCTGATTTCGGCCAGGTACACTAACATACCCTAATTTCAAAATTAGGGTTCCGTTTGAGGAAAATCCAGCTTTGAATTGGGGATTTTTTTTAACTACGTGAAATGATTCTCAGGCGAGGATACTCATGGAAGCCGGATGTATAGAAGCGGATGAGAACCCTCCGCCGGCGCCGTCCAATCCATTGTACATTCACCACGGCGATCCGCCGACTGCTTAGTTCAATTTCGAGAGAGGCAATTGGGGCGGGGAAAAGCAACATCAATCCTCCACATTAGGCGAAGAAGATTCATTCGTAGAAATGACGAGTGAGTACAAGAGTTAGGATTTCTTAGATGAGATGGAGGAGACGACCACCACTAGGGATGGAAACGTCTCTTGCCTTGCAACCGGCACAGCTAGCGAGTATGGCGATGATGGTTCCAGGAGCCCCAACTCATACGACGACAATGATGATGATGATAGGCCACAAGAAGGCTGCTTTACTTCATGCGTTGGAACTCGCTGGTTCAGGGCACCCGAGCTGCTCTACGGATCCACGGATTACGGAATGGAGGTCGATCTGTGGGCATTGGGCTGCATTTTCGCCGAGCTTTTGACGCTCGAGCCTCTGTTCCCAGGGCGCTCCGATAATAGATGAATGAGCATCGAGCAGCAGCAACTGAGGATTGGATCAAGAAAAAATGCAGGAAGGCTGCTGCCGCAAGTTGAAGACGTTTGCAACTGAGGACCACTTGCCCAGAAGAAACGACAGCGTTTTGCTCTAATCCGGAAAGCAGCTTTGGAGCAAAACGAAGACGTTTCATCAATAGAAGACAGAGATGGCTCAAATGGTGTCGTCTTTCTTAGTTCGTTGATTGTAATTAAATAGTGTCTTATAGACACGTGTTTTCGTTTTATTTGCTGTTTTTGATTAGTTAGTTAAGTACTGTAGATTAGCCGTTGGTTTCCATTTCCTCTATAAAGGGTGTTGGGTATATAATGAGAAATCCAAAAAACGAAGATCTCAAGTTTTGAGAACCTTCACCAAAAATCCTAGCAAAAGCTCTGCTATCTTTCTTTTCTTCTCATGGTATCAGAGCCTGGTTGGCTCTGGTGACCCAGATCCAGGTTTCTATACTACTGTTTTCCCCTTTCACGATTCACTGATGTCGATTCCAGAAGCCCAAGTTGTGGGTTTGTAGCTGATGAAGTAGAGACCGAAGACGAAGTTACTTCTGCAAACGACGCTACTCTACCACAAACCCCTCAAGGTGTGAACTCTCGACGTCAGATGGATCAATTTGTTCCTCCTGTGGTTCCTCGCTATGAAGATCCATATCTTAACCCTTACTACTTACCTCCTCACGATGGCGGCTTGACTACCATCATTTCAATGAAGCTCACTGACCAGAACTATAATCTCTGGAGTCAGGTAATGGAGCTAGCTCTTAGTACTAAGAACAAACTGCAGTTTGTGAATGGGTTGATTCCACTACCTCAGATTGGAGACCCTATTTGGCAGTCATGGCATAGATGTGATAGCACAGTGCGCTGTTGGATCTATTATTCCCTTTCTGATGATATTGCTAAAAGTGTTGTCCCTTACAAAGTCGCTAAAGATGTATGGGACAACTTAAAAGACAGGTTTAGCCAAGCAGACAACATGAGGGTTTATGAATTGAATGAACAGATTGGCAAATGTGTGCAGGGAAACCTTACAGTCACTCAATACTACACTGCACTTACTACTAAGTGGCGGGAGTATAAGATGTATAGGCCAATTTCTTGTTGCCCATGCCCAAATAGTCTCTTTTTCACTGTTCAAAGATATCAAGAGCATGATCTTATCATTAAGTTTATGCAAGGACTTAATATACTTATCAGACAGCAAGAACACAGGTTTTGATGAATGCTCAGTTGCCTCCTATTGAGTCGGTTTTCAAACAAATGGTTCAATTAGAGAGGCAGATGAAGGCTATGAACTCTGAGAAAGATAAGGGACGAGTTGAATCAGTGGCTCTGATGGCAGGGCAACCAAACAAGCAACAGAAAGGTGGACAAGGTGGAAGAAATCCTAGAGATTACAAGGATGGAAAAAAGTTTTGTAGGTTTTGTAAGAAGGAATACCACACCATCGATGAATGTTACAAGTTGAAAAACAAACAGACAAAGATGGTGAAAACTCTTTTGCTGGATCAGTTGAAACCACACTGACTGAATCAGGAGGTACTCATACAACTGGTTCTAGTGGAGGCAAGGGAGAAGCAGATTTGCTAAGTCTGCTTACTCCTAATCAATTTGAGCAGCTTAGAACCATGCTCAACAGGTCACCTTCTGCATCACCTTCACCACCAAATTCACATGGAATGCATCATGCTGCTGTGGCAGTAAGAGGATCACAGTCTGCTTCCAACACTGGGAAGAAATCTGCTGGTTTTCAGGCTCCAGCAACCTATGCCTCTAATTTTTCAGGTAAACAAGCTTTCTCTACTATGGTTGAACCACCTCGTAGCACAGTTTGGGTCCTGGATACAGGGGCAACAGATCACATCATTTGTGATAAAAGTTTCTTTATGAAACATAAAGCTTTGAATCAAGTGTTTGTGAATTTTCCAAATGGACAGCAAGTCCAAGCTACTCACATCAGAATTGTTACTTTGCCTTGTGGGTTATTCATTACTCAAGTTCTGTTTGTTCCTTCTTTTGCTTACAATTTGGTTTCTGTAAGCAAGTTAACACAAAACCATCCAGTTTCATTAACCTTCAAATCAAACTTCTGTTTAATTAAGGACCTTATTACTCGGAGGAGGATTGGTTTAGCCCAAGTCAGTAGAGGTCTTTACCTGTTTACAGAGTCCAAAAGTCAGGAGTTTGAAGTTTCTAAGGATTCCCAGAAGTTTGCAGCAGGAGTGTTTAATTTCCAGAATCAGGACTTTAACATCTGGCATGCCAGACTAGGACACCCTTCCTTGTCTAGATTGAGAGTAGTCAAACAAAATTGTAATGATGTTGCTTTACCTTTAACACAACATTGTAAGATTTGTCATTTGGCTAAGCAAAAGAGGCTGTCATTTCCTGTAAGCACCTCAGTTAGTACTCATGCTTTTGAACTTGTGCATGTTGACATTTGGAGACCATTGAATACAGTTTCTAGAGATGGTTTTTCCTATTTTCTCACTATTGTGGATGATTACAGTAGAGCAGTGTGGGTTTTCCTTCTTAAATCAAAGGCTGAGGCCAGGCCATCTCTCCAATCTTTCTATATTATGGTTCAAAACCAATTTTCTGTTTCTGTCAAAAATATCAGAACAGACCAAGGTCAAGAATTCCACATGACTGATTTTTACTTAGCTCATGGTATTGTTCATGAAATGAGTTGTGTCTATACAGCTCAACAAAATGGGAGGGTAGAGAGAAAACACCAACATTTGCTTAATGTGGCCAGGTCTTTAAAGTTTCAATAAGGTTTGCCTTTGGTTTTCTGGGGAGATTTTGTTCTCCATGCAGCATACCTGATTAACAGAACACCAACACCTATTCTAGACCACAAAACACCATTTGAAATCTTGCATAAAGTTCCCCCTGACTATATGAACCTAAGGATGTTTGGTTGTCTAGCTTATGCTACAGCAGTAGAGGGTCATAAGTATAAATTTGATCCTAGGTCTAGACAGTGTGTATTTCTAGGAATCCCTAATGGCGGTAAGGGATACAAGTTGTTGGATCTAGCTACCAACAAAGTCTTTGTTAACAGAGATGTTGTTTTTCATGAGCAGATTTTGCCTTTCAAAACGGGCACATCTGACTCAGATTCTGCAGAAGAAGAGCTTCCCTCACAGCCTTCTTCTGCTCCTTTGTCTTCTTCATGTCCAGAAGAACCTTCTTGTTCTGGTTCTTCACCAGCTTTTGAACCTGAGTTGACAGAATATCCTTCTCCTTCTGTCACTACATCACCCCAATTCACCTTACCAATTTCCCCTTCTCCTATAACTTCAGACACTTCAGTTAGAGGTTCTTCCTCTTCTTCTTCTGATTTATCTGCCACTCCTGCTCCTCCTCTCACTCCTCCAACCACACCAGTAGTACCCCTTAGAAAATCAACAAGGTAAGTAAAATTTCCTAAAAAGTATGATGATTTCTATGTGGGTTTGAATCAAGTCAGTTTTGGTCCAAGTTGGTTATTCCTCCAGACTTGGCTCATCTTTCACCACAACAACAACACTTTGCTTTAGCTCTTGCAGCAGCCTTTGAGCCTTCCTGTTATGCTGAGGCTGCTCAAGATCCCAGGTGGAATGCAACCATGATTGAGGAATTGCAAGCATTGTTTGATAATAATACTTGGGACATCACAAACTTGCAAGGGGGAGTGAAAGCAGTTGGCAACAGGTGGGTTTTCAGGATTAAGTACAATCCTGATGGAACAATTGAAAGATTTAAGGCATGATTGGTTGCCAAAGGATACACACAAGTGTATGGTATAGATTATTGTGACACTTTCTCCCATGTGGCTAAGTTGACTTATGTGAAAATGCTACTTGTTGTTGCATCTGTTAACAACTGGCATTTGCATAAAATGGATTTAACAATGCTTTCTTGAATGGTGAATTGGAAGAGGATGTGTATATGGAACTACCAGAAGGCATGAGGGATAAGCCTGAGTATAAGGGAAAGGTTTGCAAACTGAAGAAGTCTCTCTATGGTTTGAAGCAAGCCAACAGGATGTGGTATGCCAAATTAACATAATCTTTGCTTGCCAATGGATTCAGACAATCCATGTCTAATTATTCAATTTTCTTAACTGAGATTAAAGGGCATCTGGTAGTTCTCATAGTCTATGTAGATGATATTGTGGTTGGGAGTGTGAATCTGGAAGCAGTCATTTCAGTTAAAAACATGCTGAAGTCCTTGTTTAAAAACAAGGACTTAGGAGAGTTGCAGTATTTCCTTGGTTTGGAAGTAAACAAAACTGCCACTGGGATTCATCTCTCAAAGGAAATATTGCACAGAACTCTTGAAGGAGGCAGGGTTTGATGAATGCAAACATGCTAAAACCCCTTCCAGCGTGAAATAAGTCCTTTCAGCTTCAGATGGTGACCCTTTCCTGGAGATTAGCAAGTTCAAACACTTGCTGGGATAATTGCAGTATTTGACAAGCACTAGACCAGATATAAGCTTTGCTGTTCAACAGCTTTGCCAATTCCAAGACTCACCAACCACAGTACATTACAAAGCCTTGCAGAGGGTGTTTAGATACTTGAGCAATTCACCTGGTCAAGGCTTGTTCTATTCCAAGGATTCTGCTGTGCAATTAACAGGGTACAATGACTCTGATTGGGCCACATGTCCTGATTCAAGAAGATCATTGACAGGGTTTTGTGTTTTTCTGGGGACAAGTTTAATTAGCTGGAAAACAAAGAAGCAGAGTACAGTTCCCAGATCTTCTTCAGAAGCAGAATATCGAGCTTTGGTCCAGCTCAGTTGTGAAGTTCAATGGTTGGTAAGATTGCTTTCTGACTTTGGAATTGTTCACTCTCAACCAGCCTTGGTTTATTGTGACAATCAGTCAGCAATACACATTGCCAGGAATCCAGTCTTTCATGAGCGAACGAAACATATTGAGGTTGATTGTCATGTCATTAGGGAAAGACTGATGAATGGTTTGCTTGATTTGAAACACATTTCCATCTTCACCAAAAGCCTTGGTATAGATCGTTTTAACATGCTGATGTGCAAGCTGGGAGTCTCTGGAAGACACTCGCCAGCTTGTTGGGGGGGGGGGGGGGTAATAAATAAATGAGCATCGAGCAGCAGCAGCAGCAGCTGAGGATTGGATCAAGAAGAAATGCAGGAAGGCTGCTGCTGCAAGTTGAAGATGTTTGCAACTGAGGATCACTTGCCCAGAAGAAACAACGACGTTTTGCTCTAATCCGGAAAGCAGCTTTGGAGCAAAATGAAGACGTTTCATCAATAGAAGACATAAGATGGCTCAAACGGTGCCGTCCTTCTTAGTTCGTTGATTGCAATTAAATAGTGTCTTATAGACACGTGTTTTCATTTTATTGGTTGTTTTTTATTAGTTAGTTAAGTATTGTAGATTAGTCGTTGGTTTCCATTTCCTCTGTAAAGGGTGTTGGGTATATAATGAGAAATCCAGAAAACGAAGATCTCAAGTTTTGAAACCTTCACCAAAAACCCTAGCAAAAGCTCTGCTATCTTTCTTTTCTTCTCATCCGACATTGATCAGCTCGGGAGGATTATCGGTGTGTTGGGGAACTTGAATGAGGAAGTGTGGTCATGTTGTGTGAACCTTCCTGACTACAGGACGATGTCCTTTGGCAAAGTGGAGAGCCCTGCTGGGCTGGAGTCGTGCTTGAAGATCCGTTCGAGCAAAGAGATGTCGCTGGTGAAGAAGCTGGTGTGCTATGATCCGTTTAGTAGGGCTACTGCGATGGAGTTGCTTCACGACCTGTACTTCTCGATGGAGCCACTTCCTCTTTCGCTCTCGGAGCTTCATGTGCCGAGATCGAACAGCGAGCATGATGTGGATTTGCCAGGTGGGTGGTACGACTACAAGGATCCTGACTTTGTTTTTGATGATTTTGGTCCTATGCATGTCACCGAGACTTGGAGCGGGTTTTCCAGTCTCGGTTTCCATGAGCTCAGAGACTGGCAACTGATGTCGCAAACTGGTGAATCGAATTGTTGGTAGATTATTGAAGCATGGGTAGATGAGTGCTTGTGTATAAATCCTTGAACCCTCTTTGTTGTGTAGAATCTCATCAATGCAAAGGCTTGAGAGGTTTTTATGTCCAGCCATTTTAAGAACATGAATTGCAGATTATCAGTTGTGTGCTTGTGGACGAGGAACCACTGGTCCTCTCTGCGCTTCTTGCTGCAGAAGGTCGTGCGTCGGGTCGGAGTATGAGATGTGATATTGAGTTCGATCAGTTGCTTTGTATGGGTAGCTTGCTGTAACTTTTGGCAAAAGCCAATCGTTGGAGCGCACCAGCCGTTCTCTTCCTGCCACTTTCTTGCGGAACCTAGCAAAGTAGTTACTCTGCTGGCCTCATTCTGCAGCTTTAGATTGCGAGGAAGGCATTCCTCTTAGGCTTATCCATTTGTTTAGGGAGTGAAACCAAGTTGGCATCACGAACTGCAAGAATCTATGTAGCGAAGCGAAGCAGATAAAAAAGGCGCAAAACGGGACCTGACATCAAAACAAAATTGTCCGTTTGAGGCATGAACAGTCAGACTCGACGAGCAACAATTGCCATGGCAGATGGTGGCAGCAAATGAGATATTCAGGGAGTCTTCAGAAGATAGAGCCACAAAGTGGAAGTAAAAGAGGAGGAAGGAAGGACAACATGATCGAAGTGAACCCACAAAGTGAAAACCACTATTATTACAAGACGGCGAGACGGTATGGGAACAAACAACTCGGTCCTTCCTTTTACCTATGAATTCAGGCCGTTGGATGAAACCCAAAACCAGTGCCATATCATGGACCGTCGGATAAGCAAAACCAGTGCAATCCGGACCCCTTTCGATATTATTAAGCCCAAAATTCAAAATGCAGTGAGAGAGAGGGAGGAGGAAACGCAAACAAGAAAGAAACAGACTCTGAAGAGCGGAAGGAAAACCAAAAAGCCCTGACCTCCTTCTCCCCTTTTTGTACTCTCACTGCCTCCCTCGCTTTCTTCCTGCGCCTCTACTCCACCAATCTCTCTCTCTTTCTCTCTCGCGCAGCGGGTTGGGGCCGGGCCGGGCCGGGCCGCGGCTTGCTCTCTTTCCTTGCCGGCGGCCGCCAGCCAGCCTTTTCGGATCAATTTCTGTGCGCTCTGCTGTTTTTCTCTGAAATTTGGCGCTCCGTCATTCCGCCGGGAGAAGTCAGCTGAGCTGATTGGCGATTTTTCCGGGGGCGGGGAGCGCGGGGATCTGGAAGTTGCGGAATTCGGGTCGGGTTTGTTGGAATTTTAGGCGGGGGAAGAAGCGCGCGCGGGATTAGCCTTTTTTTTGGTTCCCCGGGTTGGAATTCGAGGGGTAATTTTTGTTAGTTTGGGGGGATGGGGGAGGGCGAAGGAGGCGAATTCCCTCCAAAAATGGCTCCGCAATCGGAGGCGGCACAATCCCCCGCGGATTTCCCGGCGAAGACCCTTGCTAGGCAGCTCGATTTCAGCGGCGGCGGTGGGCTTCTTCTTCCCGACCATCCACAACCTCAGAAGCCGACGGTGGCTGTGCAGCAGCCGATTGCGAAACCGCCGGTCTCTGTACCTGTCACTCAGAGCCAGCAGCCGCATCTCGTTGCTGCGGCGACCGCCCCTGCTGTGCCTCAGCCGCCAACTCAGCAGCAGCAGCAACAAGGTGTTCCAGCTGTGAAGGCTGTGTAAGTTTCCTTCTTTCTCTTTTCTTCCCGTTTCCCCGTTTGGGGATATTTTGAATCGGGTGGTTCTCGACTGGAATTCGCTTCAGTTTCATTTTGCCTGTGGAAGAATTGACTGCCATAGAGTGGTGATTGTGTTGATCTTGTTTATCGTTTCTGGGTTGCTTCTGTTGTTTCTTTCTATCAAAGTTCTTTATTTTTTTTTTTTATTTTAGATATTTCCTGATCAATCTCGGTAACTTATTCGATAATGAAGTTTTGTCAATGGCTGAAGTATTGAATTGCGATATCATAGATTATTTTGGCTATGGCTTCTGGACTTCATATTGGCTTTCGGCATTCCTAATTGATCAAGTGAAACCTGGCTGTCTTAATGTAGAGATTTTGTGTGGGGGTATTCATCTTCTGGTGTTTTTTAAGACTCCACTGTCATAAATGCTCCACCTTGATGCATTACAATTTCCTTTTTCTATCACGAACATTAATGTTTACCTGCGATAGTTTCGACTTTTCGCCATGTGTTCGTAATTGCGAACTTCAACCCTGAGTTAAAGGGAACGTTGGTGGAGAGGCAAGATAAAATAGTTTCATACTCTTTTCATTTTTTTTGAAAATTTTATCTGAACGTGCTCATCACAATTGCTGCGACTATGTTCAAGGAGATTGCATCATTCTAATTCTTTTGTTAATGAAACCATTTCTTTCCACAGGAAACCTGACTCCCCAAAATCAAGAGCAAGACCAGCTGCAGAGAAAGATGGTACACCAAAGAAGCAGAAACAGTGTAACTGTAGGCACTCAAAGTGCTTGAAGCTGTGAGTACCTTTTTTCTTGTCGGAATTTCATTGTATTTGAAGTTTCCTTTTGAAATGTTCCATGGTGAAATCTATATGAAAAGGTTACCGCGATTGGATATGGTATAGGGGCCCCTGGTGTTGATGGTGCAGTTCCATGTTTTTTGTTGCTGATTCATGATGCTAGTTTCAACTTTTCATGCAATGACGAAAAAATGATTTTCTTAGGAATAGCCCTTACCCTCTTCCCTTATCCAGGAAGCTGGTTCTGCTGTGCAGCACTGGAGGTTTGTTATGTTTGCTAGGCCTCTTCGTATTTCCAGGTTTAGTTGGGGCATTATTATAAGCTATACCTTCTCAGTGTAGGAAGCTATACTTGTGGAAATCGTGATTAGGATCCAAATATACATGAGCCATATGATAGACTAAGTTCACTTTTCCCTTATTCTTTTCTACTGGTCATAACTAAGCTGTAATTTATCTTCTTAGTAAAGACATCAACTTTAAGTTTATATCCTTTGCCGAATCCAAAAGGCAGATACTTCTGAGTGCAAAGTCTTTTCAAGTGTACCTACCAGTTTGCACGCATATACAACAGTAGTAAAAGTTCCATCTGATAGCGGCCACATTCATTTACAGTTGCTTATTGGTATGATCAACAGATGATTGTAGTAAACACGTGGCTGTCCTCTGAGCGCATCAACTGCTTTGTTTAGCCTGTCTTTTTATTTCAATCTATTCATTAAAAATTTCCTTCTGTTAGGATAATTTGATATCCATTTCGCTTTAAGTTACGGGACGTACACTATGTTTCACTTTCGAGCTAATTATTTTTGAGTTATTTTTATCAGGTACTGTGAGTGCTTTGCTTCTGGAACATATTGTGATGGATGCAATTGTGTAAATTGCTATAATAATGTCGAGAATGAAGCTGCCAGGCGAGAAGCAGTTGAATCGACTTTGGAGCGTAATCCAAATGCATTCAGGCCAAAAATTGCAAGCAGCCCACATCCACCACGAGATATCCGGGTAGATATTTGTTTTTTATTCTTCGTACCGGTAAAGTTAGTTCAACGGTACAAACAGTGGTTTGAATGTTTTCATGCTCCAATGCCACTACGTCAATCCCTGAGGGCTGTGTAAATACTGCACTCTTAATAGCTCCAGGTTTGCACTAATTCACAGTTGGTCCGCATTTGTGGAGCCGAAGAGAGAATTCCTACTGCACTAATTAAAAGATAGATTACCTCATTGTTCTTTTCTTCAGAAATTTTTTAATCCCTCTATCAATAAATTGATCGGAGTTCTCTCTGTTTCATTTTGGTGAAACCATATACTGGGACGACTCGGCTTAGTTTCTTTTTCTATTTAAATTGTGGCATTCTTGATAGATATATAAATAAATTAACACACTCGAAGTTTTGGACATTGTTGAGCATTGTGAATATTTGGCAGGGTTCACTATGTGGCATGGTTTTGGCTAATTTTGGTCATTGGGATATTTAGATAGTGGTAGATTTGGTACATGGTTTATTTCAGCATGTTTTTTTTTTGTGATTTTCCTTTTTTATCTTAAAATAAATTATATCAAGATCACCTTGAAGGATTGGCTTGAATAGGATTTGTGACTTTGGTCTAATTCACCTTCATTTTTTAAGGGAGCTGTCATTTTCTTGTTTCGGTTAGCAAGTCAATCAGTTCATATATGTGCAGGAGGAAAATGGGGAATTAGTAGTGCTGGGAAAGCACAACAAGGGATGCCATTGCAAAAAGTCGGAATGCCTCAAGAAGTATTGTGAATGCTTCCAGGCAAACATCCTCTGTTCTGAAAATTGCAAGTGCATAGACTGCAAGAATTTCGAAGGAAGTAAGGAACTCCAGGCTCTCTTTCACAGTGACCATGCCAGCAACATTAACATGCAGCAGGCAAATGCTGCTATAACAGGAGCAATTGGTACATCTGGGTTTACATCGCTTCCAGTGTCTAGAAAGAGAAAAGGCCAGGAACTATTTTTTGGTCAAACAGGCAGGGAGCCTTCCTTTCACAGGCCAGGACATATTCAGCAGGTAGAATTCCTTTTTTACTTGAATTGTGTATCCTTTAATGATTTCTATACTCAACATTTAGGAATTTTTAAGACAACCTTAAACAATATAATGGCTGCATGTTCTCTGCTTTTAGAATTTTCAACTTAACTCGGACTGACTGAATGAGTGTGTAATGAAAAATGTGAATGATGTGTAATCCTCTTTAATCAGGCTAACCAGATCAGGGCTCCTGCAACCTCTTCAAACCACGTAGTTCGTGGTGGCAGCATAGCACTGCATACCCCTTCCAAAGTCACATACAGGTCTGAAGTTTCCTTTTGGATGTATGACAAATTTCCTTCTAAAATGTGGCTGATTTTCCCCCACTTGTGATTGAAGGTCTTTGTTAGCGGACATTATTCAACCCCAGGACATTAAAGCACTTTGTTCTGTATTGGTGGTTTTATCTGGAGAAGCTGCTAAAACACTTGCAGGTATTATGTTGAACTTTGTATAGTTGCTGATTATATAAAGAATAAGGAGGTACTTGTCATTAGTATGCTCGACTACCACTGATCATCTTTGCCATGAGGAGAGAACCCCTGCAATATGTGGTATCATTTACATTGCTTTTGTTTGTCATTCGTATATGAAAGAAAATATTACATCCGAACTATATATCCATTCATGCTAGACACTGTTTAGGTCTATATTCATTGTTTTATAAGCTTAGCCCCCCCTTGTAAAAGTGTTCTTAGTTAGATTAGTAGCCTAAATTCACACCATAGTTGTGAAACACACATGCATTTCTGGAGATTCTGATTTCTTTGGCATACTTCAATTATCTGTTTCTCTGGATGACGAATCCTAGCTAATTTATTTCCACTTGTCCACAACTTCGTTTTCATGTATTTTTGCACCTACGATTAATTCTTCCAAGATTTTGTCCTGGTTCTGTTGTACATAAAGGTTTTGTATTATCCACGTTCGTGTGAAGTAAACCTGGATAGATGAATGAGCTTCTAGAACTTGTTCCCATAGTCTTCACGCCCTTTAGATGGTCAGCCTTTTCCTTTATCCACAGGTATATTATATAATTCCCCTATTAACCCTATGCGTTCCTAAGATTTTCATTGATCGAAAATCATGTTAGCTGCTAAATCTGGATTTATTTGTCAATGACCACCTGGCTATTTGGTTAAGGATTGGAGTGTGTCATGATGCTCTCTGTATAATGATCAGAGAAGCAAATCAGCCTACCATTTTGCTTATTTTTCAGACCATTTGTGATAACCAGGTTTCAAGTGTCATCAGTAGATTAAGGATGACTAAGTTTGATTCTGTTGGTAGTTCCTGGGAGTATCCTATGCAATGTTAGCTAGCTTCCCTGCTCTGCTGCTCTCTAACCTTCCATTTATATTAAGAGTGTTGAGTAGATTTGCTTATCCGGGCCATAAGAATTTGGAATTTTCCTATGCAGAGCAAATAATTGAGCTAGAAAAGCAGGTGGAAGTCCAGGCTGAAGCTTCTCTTGCATCATCAACTCAGGAAAAGCAGAACCAGAGAGAAACAGATGCCGAGAAAAGTGTTGCCGATGATGGTTGCTCCAGTGCTATCCCGGTTGACAACTCAGGTCCTGTTAATGGTTCCACGTCAGACGATGTGGATGCTTCGAAATTGAGGCCAATGTCACCCGGAACTTTAGCACTAATGTGTGATGAGCAAGACACTATGTTCATGGCAGCTTCCTCACCAAATGGCTTGACGGGCCACGGTGGGATCACAGCGTTGCAGTCACCTGACAACGGACAAGGCGTGACAACAGAATCTTACGTGGAGCAGGAAAGAGTCGTATTAACCAAGTTCCGAGATTGTCTACAAAACCTCATCATGTTGGGAGAGGAGAAAGGCAAGCCTCACTCTCTCTTATTCTCATATACTATTTTCTCTTAGTTTTACTGTGTTATGTTATGTTGCCATTTCACTAATCCTCCTTCCGATTCCAACAGAAATAGTGTGTTCATCGGTAGCCAGATCAGAGTCCATTGATCAGAGATACACGCTCAGCAATGGCACAACAACAATGACGAGTAATCGAGCTGTGGAAGGAGGCATTCAACATGGCGGCGCTGGTGGGCCCTTCAGCAACGGGGCAGCGAATAATGTCATCGCTCCACAGACAGCAGCCAGAGCACCTCAATTGGTTAGTTCTGCGATCGACACACCATCGTCGAATACAATCGATCCTCTGAAAAGTAGCACACTCCCACAAAATACTGATTGAAAGCCAAAGTCATGACAGACATCCTGAAAATTGTCCTCTGCACAAAAATTTATGGATATACAGACGACAGCGGTCCTGGTCTCAGTCCTCGACGAGGACTGCGTTTCGGGCAATGATCAACTTGATGTGCTGCCAAGAGAGCCTGAAGGCTGAGCAGGGTGCTGGTTAAAGACTAATTGTTAATCGCGTAGTTTATATGTTCAAAGAGTGTAAATTGTAGAGAAAGAGAGCCTTTGCAATTGCAGGGGGAGAGGGTCGTATTTTTTACATGGGCTTATACTTCCTGGGTTTGTATAACCTAGAGCTGTAGCAATTTTCGGCCGCCTAATTTTATTCACTATTGTTAGAAGAGAAAACAGTGCACTAGAGCAGAGAGCTAAGAAGTAAAAAAAAAATAATAATAAAATTTAATCATTTGACGTGGAATATGAACTGAATAGCCTTTGACAAGGGCGGTGAGTGAGTTCAGTTGGGTATCATATTTGTATGGTACTGGCTTAATCTGATCGTTATGTTGCAATGCAACAATAGAACCATGTCCTATGTGTATGGATTGTACAAGCCTAGCTAGCTGTGGGTAGGGATGGCAACTTTGCCAATTGGGTTGGGTATGAAATCCAAATAGATGGATATGAGTAGAGTTTGATGGGTTGTATCCATACCCATTTACTTTGGGTTGAGTTGGGTTTATATCAAATGGATTTGGGTTTGTACCCATGTCCAAATACAAATTACAGTTTGGTACCCAAACTTAATAGATATGCAAATTTAGTATCTAAATTTAAATTTTTTTGCATATAAATCCTCAAAATATCAATGGAAATTTACGTTTTGGTACCTAAATTTTTTTGGTCTTACATTCTGATACATAAACTTTACAAGTTTTACAAATAGGTCCAATTTTTGCATGTGTAGTTAAATCACCCTCAAGTAAATGGATATCCATATCCAACCCATACTCATTTAGATTATGGAAGCAATATTCATACATTACCCAAACCCATATGCACTTCACCCATACCCAACCCATTATCAATGGGTCTATTTGGATTTGGATATAATTACCCATTGGTGGGTAATTTGCCATCCCTAGCTGTGGGCGATTTCCAATTCTTCCCTGTCGTAAGCAATTTTTTAGTCTACTGGTTGATCCGATACTATACAACATCATTCCATGGGTGAAACGTTACAAATAGCAAATGTTAGAACGAGCTATCTAAAACTTAAGCTCAGAACATTAATGTGGAGAGGAAGCTGCTTCCGGCAGTCTGGCAAGAGACGAGAAAGTAGGCAACACAGTCCGGTACATACATAACTGCCAACTAGTGCTAGGAAGTAGGAATCGATGCCACATGTGAACACGTGCCAAGTAGCCCGATTCGATCATGATGGGGATGGTAGTACATACGGTCTTCCTAAAGAAGGAAAGTGACGTTGGTATGAACTACCAAAAGATATGAAGTGAGCTAGAGAGCAAGCGTAAACGTCTGTTATAATCGATGATAACACTACGAGTAATCGCTGATGTGCAAAATATGAAATTTCCAGAGGTTTATAAACCATATGATCTACCCTTTATTGCTGGGATACGAAAATCTCAGACACATTTTCCAGACATTTTATTACATTTGTGATTTGACTTGCTGGTGACGGAAACAAGAGGCCTTGTTGTCTACAGCCGAGACCTTGATGAAGAAGAGAGAGACGAAGCAGGAGCACTCTACAGAACAACAAGAAGAAAGAACCAAGAAGAACACAGATGGCAGTTAATGCATATTTTGGAGCTCAACCAAGAACTATGTAAAAGCAGAAACACAACCACACATTGTTCAAGCTCGAAAGGTTTTGCTTCTTACCAATGGGACTCCCCTTGCTGCGCGCACTTCCAAGTAGCTCGATGGCTTGAAGAACCCACCGTACAACTCCGACCACCTCGTTAGCCTTTCATATATGTGTTTCGCCCCGACCAAGTCCGCCCAGAAGACGATACCACCACTGCATCGTGCAACAAACAATTTGAATGGACTTCCCGTTGAAGAAAAAAGGGTTCCAAGTGGTGTGTTTGTTTAAGCTTTTGCTAAAATGATCTAAATCATTTGTGAGACTTCTAATGAGTACTGGTTTTACAAAGTTGGATTAAAATGATGTTTGTTTCCTTACCCCAACTTGATTTTAACCACCCTAAGGCACGGATGAACGAGAGTGACTCACCGATAAGACGGGAAGCTCATCCCGAGCACAGATGCTATATCGAGGTCTGACGCTCGAACCACCATGCCCTCGTCAAGTACGCGGCATGCCTCGTTCACCACCGGGAACATGATCATCTCCAGGATATCCTGATCAGTAACATTGATTATCTGCCAAACCACCAAAACCCACATCAGGACTTGAGTTTATTAAGCCATGTTCTTTTATTCTAGAAAGCTATATAAGAAATGAACCTTTCCATTGGGCATCATATTGGCAATACGCCTCGACTCCTCGATGATGGGTAGTACTGAAGGATCAGGTTTTGGCTTGCTTCCCTTCTCGTAAATGTAGTATCCCCTTCCATTGTTCTTGCCTAGCAAAGCAAAAGTGGTACGAAGTATGAAAGTAACATGAGTGTAGTCCCCAACTGGATGATGCAACCAGTAACTACAATATCAACAGGTCACTATTTGTAGTACCATTTCGTCCATTCTTAATCAAGAGATCAACCAGGGGTGACTTAAATGTGCGATCAGGGAATGCACCGCGAAATTCTTTGCTGACAGCCAAAGCTACTCCATATCCAGCTAAATCCTGGAGCCTTCAATGCATTGGGTAATAGAGAAACGGTTATTATCGAAGATCAGCCATCCACAACGATGCGAAGTAAATTTGAGAAGGAGAAAGAAATTACTGGAATGGGCCAATAGGGAGGCCGAAGCTGCTGATGACTCTGTCGATTCTGAAGACGTCCACGCCTACATGGGCTAGTATATGGGCGCTCTGTGAGTAGGGGAAAAAGGTACGATTGACTGCAAAACCAGTGCAGTTACCCACGACAACGGGTACTTTCTTTATAGCCTTCCCAACTATCATAAGATCAAGAATTTCTTGTGCTGAGGTTTTGTTCGTCCTCACTATCTCCAGGAGAGGCATTATATGAGCAGGGCTGTCCATAAAAAAATGAGCATGCACGGGAGCAACATTTTAACGCTTGTGAAAAAACAGAACAAGTCTTCTATTAGTCAGAACTTGTGCTGCTGGAGAGCCATACTATTAATGATAGACCATGGAGACAAGAAACAAAAAAAAAAAAAAAAAAAGAAACAAGGTAACCAAACCTGAAAAAGTGTGCTCCTATGATGCGATCCTGTGAGTTAGTCTTCTCTCCAATCACACTCAGGTCGATGGTGGATGTGTTAGTTGCCAAAATGCAGTGACCAGGACAAACCTTTTCAAGTTCACCAAATATTTTTTGTTTCAAGGGAATATTTTCAATAACTGCCTGCAAATGTTAGAACCTTAATCAAATAACTACTAACCAGAAGTTAAAAGACAACTTATGATACAATCTCCAATGAAAATATTTGCACATGAGACTAGCACAACAGTACAACAAAACTGAAAGGGCCAGCTCTATAAAATTGAGAGCCATTCTGGAGTCCAGATTCCATAAGAAGTTCAAGATGACAGAATGAGACTCAGCACAATGGAGAATTTACCTCTATGACCATGTCCACACTATTGAAGTCCGAATAGTCCAAAGCACCTTCAAGCATTGAGATAGCTTTTTTAGCTTTATCGTTCGTCAACTTTCCTCTTGTCTCCAAGTTCCGAATATTTCCTGCAATTGAAAATATGTAACTAACTACAACCATTTGGGGACTAATTATAAAAATTTGGAATCATCAAACTGCGGAGTCCGCCCTCCAACTAGATTAAAACTATCAGATACCTTCTATTGTTTTTATCCCTTTGAGAAGATACTCAGAGTTTACTTCTTTAAGAACAACATATATATTGCTTGTAATGAGGGCAGTAGCTATCCCAGAACCCATTAGGCCTCCACCTATAACAGCCACTTTCTTGATCTGCCTAGGTTTAAGGCCAACATCAGTCACACCAGGCACCTTTGATGTAGCACGCTGGCCAAAGAACACATGAACTAGACCCTTTGAAGTCTCTGATAAGACCAACTCGTTGAATACTTTTGCCTCCTGTTAAATAAATAATTTCATCCATCAGCAGTGAAGGAGAGACATAATATATTTTTGTCACAGAAGCTGCACCAATCCATCATCCATGCACATAACAAAGGTCAAGAAGCACTGTACTGCTTTTAGCACATGAAAGCAGAATGCTTATTTAAACTCATAAGATGTCAGGAACAAGTCTTAATGCCAGAAGCATCGTAATTTTCATGAAAAAAAGATGTTATTGCACAATATCAGTGGATTTCAAATCTTAAAGCCTTTGGTACCGTCAGAACCCCACTATAGCCTCCATGAATAATGCCATTCTCAATCACATCAAGGCATCCCAGATGCTGCGGCATATTTGGGGCGGTCTTCTTGGCTTGCAGCCTAGCAGCTTTCAGTACCTCACGGGCCTCATTGAGCGAACCAATCTTGTCAGTCTTATGAAGTGAACGAACCCAAGGTTTGCGCCTGTCAGCAATGTCTAGAGCCCATTCTCGTGATACTTTCAGCAAATCTTGAGAAGAGACAAGAGCATCAATAAGACCAAGCTTCTTTCCCTCTTCAGACAGGATGGGCTTGGATAGCTGTAAAGGATAGAATTCAAGTCTAAAAGCTTTTGCAGAGTAATGAGGACGTAGAATTCAAAATGAGGCATTTTCATATTGTTTGTGGTTTGGTTTTAGACTCTGAGTGTACCATAAACATCTGGACATAACTCAACCCTTGCTCTAAAAAAAGATTAGCATCATTTCCGAAAATTTACTAAAAAGGAAAGGGAATCTAGGTGCCAGATTGATCTGCTCAGGGAAAGAAAAATGATAGTTCATT